GGCCCAGAGAATAAACACAGGGAGGGACAATCTTTGCCATCTTCTTTCTTTGTTTGCTTTCTGCTCAGTGCCTTCAAAGGAGCTTCAGTTGTGCAAACTGTGAGGATGCAGGGAGGCAAACATCCCAGAGAGAGAACATTTCAGGCTTAGGTCCAGGAAAGGAAGTGAACAAGGTTACAAAGTTGGAAAAAGATAGAACACTCCTTAATTTCAGAAAGAAAGTAACACAAATTCAGAATCAACAACAAATGGTTTGTTTGTGACTGTCACACATGAGAAAATACTTCATCACCTCAACGTTTCTGTAACGGCCCAGCCAACTCCTGAGTGAGCATGGGAAAGTGTGTGCGTGCCACAGAGGTAAAGAAACACCTCAAACCTTGAGGAAAATGAGCTAAGTTACTGAAAAAGAAACAGGTAAATTTTAGCCTAAACCTAAACCAGTTGTCTACCACAGACAAAAGAAAAGCTCAAGTATAGCAGTTCTTGTGTTTAACAGCGGATGTACAAGCCAAACAGGAAAGAAAAGCAAAGCCAGCTTCACCGAAATTTAAGTCTTCTGTTTTGTAAAAGACACAAGTATGTGAACTGAAAAGATAAATCACTGTAGCCTCACATGGAGATTCATACCTGTAATCCTAGCACTTGGGAGGCGTAGACAGTAGGATCAGGAGTTCAGGGTTTCCCCGAGGGTGATGGTTTGAATAGGAACGGCTCCCATCAACTTACAGATTTGAATGCTTGGTCATTAGAGAGTGGTACTTGACAGGGATTAGGAGGCGTGACCTTGCTGGAGGAAGTGTGTCATCAGGCGTGGGCTTTGGGGTTTCAAATGCTCAATCAGGTTCAGTGTCTCTCTCTTTATTCTTGATGCATGTCAACCAGATGTAGAAGTCCCAGCCACCTCTCCAGCACCATGCTTGCCTGCCTGCCGTCATGCTTCCTACCACAAGGATGATAGGCTAAATCTCTGAAACTGTAGCTCAGCCCCAATTAAATGCTTTCCTTTGTGAAAACTGCTATGCCATGGTGTCACTTTTCAGCACTAGAACACCGACTAATACACAGCAAGTTTGAAGCCAATTGGGACTACAAGGCTACATGTGATCCTGGTCTCAGGACATAAAAAAGCAACCCCCCCCCCAAATCACAAGACTAGCTGTAGAACGGAGAAAAACTTTTGCTGCAACATATTAGGTATGAATAATTTCCAAATTTATATGTATATACATATATGAAAAACTTTACACATCTAACAAGAAAATAATGAACCCAATTAAACTAGCAATAGATTTGGAGGGACTTCCCTCAATTAGATAATTGATAAATAACACAATAAGAGATAATCAGTCTCATCAAACGTTAGGGAAATGCAAGTCAGGATTACAGTACCATATCACTACATACCTACTAAGATAGCTGTTTAAGAGGAGAAAAAGACCCCACATAGTGAAAACATGAGGTCTGCACCCCTCATCTCCCACTCCCCCCCAAAACACAGAACAGTTGAGAGTAGAAGCAGCCGCTAGACTTAGTCCATCTGACAGTCGCTCCTAGCTCAGCAGCCAAGGGGGTTTATCTGCATACCAGTGGTGGTGTGAATTCTAAAATATTTTTAATCATAAGTTTTCTGCACACATAGTTTCTGAGCTTATCAAATAATTTTCTGTGTTTATCTTGGTCCTTTTGTCCAACTTGAGAAGTGAAGCACCCATCCATATAAAGCTGCCTTGAAGCTTCAGAAATTTCACAGATGGGTGATCAACATACTTCCCCAGTGGATAACTCAAGTGCAAACTATTACTTGTTTCTTTTGGAAGATTTCATATTCTATGATATGAAAGTATTTTATGTCATGTGATTCATTGATTTCTAGATAAAAATTAGCAGTTTCTTATGAGGAGGCATTTCTGATTGACTATTTGATTTAGAGAGCAAAGCTAGAGAAAGCAGCCAAAGGTTCTGTGTTCAGGTTCTGTCTAGTCTTAATAAATGATTTTACCTCTAGCCATCATTCCTGCGACTCTGTGCCTAGTGTCCACAACTCCTAATATACACCACTGAGCTTCCCTCGAGATTAGATGACTGGACCACACGGGAGAAGGGAAACACTTGGATACGTATGTGGATGGGGGGGAGCTTGGGTACCAACCACTTTGCTCCGTAGATTGCTACCTAAGCTCATCTTCGACCTTTACCCCAGCTCCCTACTCTCCTTGGTGTCTCATGCGTCTATATTCCCAGATTCTCAGCTGGAATATAAGCGTGTTTCACGTCGCCCTTTCTGTCTTCACCTACTATACCTTTACTATCCATTATAAACAATTTGTTTCTTCCAGATAAGTCTTGTTTCCAAAACTGTGCTCAAATCTGGCTTGTCTTGGTGCCTCCTCTCTCTCTTGACTTGTTCTTGCCCTGCAGGGCTCATTTAAATGATCTTGCATTCACTTCTTACAGTTGGGAAGATGCAGTGTTCAAATCCAGCCATTTTCCCCTTATTATCTGTAGTAATCTTCACAAAGAAAAAAACAGTCGTGGAGAGACATACATATTCCCTCAATTTCTCACAAAGCTTTGAGACTACTTTCTGATGAATGTAAATATGTATTCTGAAGCACAGCTCTTTGCCGTTCAGTGGAGTTTGATTTATAAAGATCCCAGAAGACAAGAACAGGACAATACCACCCATTTCCTGAACAGTAATTATTTTCTGACTTTGAGAATGGACTTAGTGTCCTATCTCCCAAGATCCCTTCCATCCCTTACAATCCTCACTAGAGCATAGCATTTTTCCTTTCTCTTTTTTCATTTTTATTTTCTTTTTTATTGACATTTACAAATTTTAAAAAATATTTTAATTATTATTATTTATTACAATTTATTCACTTTGTATCCCGGCTGTGGTCCCCTCCCTATTCATTAAGTCAATTTGCATCTCAGTAATAGGCTTCTCCTTCCAGTTCCATTCTCCCTCCTGCATGCCCTCTCCCCTATTCCTTAGAATAGGGAGCCTCCCCCCACTCAGACACCCTGACTTATCTAGTCTCATGAGGACCGAGCTCATCTTCCTCCCCTCTGGCCTGCAAGGGCACTCCCATCAGGGGGAAGTGATCAAAAAGCAGGCAACAGAGTCCATGTCAGAGATATCCCACAGTGCCATAACTTGTGGGCCCACATGAAGGGTAAGCTGCCAATCAGATACTTATAAGTAGAGGACCTATGTCCAGACCATGCATGGTCCTTGGTTGGTGAGTCACACTCCATAGGCCCCTCTGGGCCCTGGTTGACTGGCTCTGTTTGTCTTCTTGTGGAGCTTTGGTCACCTCTAGGCCCATTTACCCTTCCCCCCTTTTCTAGTAGACTCTCTGTGCTTTGCCTGATGTTTGGCTGTGAATCTCACTATCTGTTTTGAGCCCTTGCTGGTTGGAGCCTCTAAGAGGACAATTTGGGTAGGTTCCTGCCTGCATGCATATCAGAGTATCATTGACAGAGAGGGATTAGCTTTCTTTCATGGGGTGGTTCTTAGGGTTGGGCCTGGCATTGGTTGGACATTCCCTCAATCTCTGCTCTATCTCGATGCTGCAGGCCTTGTTGGTAGGGTAAGTTCTGGACTGAGGATTTTGTGCGTGGGTTGATATTCTCCCCTGTCCACTAGGAGTCTTGTCTAGATAGAGGGTGTCCTCTTCAGCCTCAATGGCCCCTGCTACCAGGTCTTACCTAGAGTCACCCTCATGTCCTCCCAGAGGCCTGTTCTGACTTAGGTCTGCAGCTTGTCCCAGAGATGCCCCCACCCAATGTTTCCATTGGAACTTTTCCCTTTTATATTTGTCTTGCACATTGTCAACATTGACAGTATTTTCAAATATTTCACAAATATTTATTTAGTTTCCCACCTATACCACAGGATGGAACTTTGTAAATTTAAAATTGTATCTTCTCTTTGGAATTGTTTTTGCTTCCTGTTTTATTATAACCATAAATATGTTTGAATAAAAAAATAGATAAAAAGTTTCTAATGCCCAATTACCTTGTCCATCTTTCCTTTACATATCAAGCATGTATTCCTGATACACTTGTCAAAAATCTATTGAAAGGATTGGGTTAATCATAACATAAAAATTAGATGGGAATGGATGGTTTGTGTGTTTGAAAACACACTGAGGAAGATACAATTTGTAACATGAGTGGCTACTGTCGGTTACTTGTTTTCACTAATTGTTTTAATTATTATTTTCTAAATTCAATATCCTAGTATTGCGTTGAAAGGAAAAACAAAACAAAACAAAACATCAAAACAAAACAAAAGCCAGTGTGTTTGGGCTGAACCTATCGGAATGGAAGCTCACATGATGGATGGAGTCAGTCTATGTGTGTTTGTCCATGTGTATTTAGGTGAAAGGTGATTCATCTCGTTAGGATCAGAGTATGACAAGGGACCGCACACATTTCCTGCTTCCATCTCTCACAGTAGAGAGATCAGCAACAGCCTCACTTCTGTATTTGGGAAGAGCATTGAATCTTATTACTGTTAACAATGGATTATTATTATCACATTATTACTGTTTTTGAGTGTCATCCTTGTGCAGCAATCCAAATACTATTTGCTCTATTTATTTGAGATGTATTTTTTAGTTTTAGGGTAATCTAAAACAGATAAATCAATCATTTTCAAAGAGATTTGGTTATAAAGTGATCATTCTAATTAAAATTATATTTTGCTTCATAACAGAATTCATTAAAGGGCACATTTAAAGAACGAGGCTCTCCTACATGTGAGTATCTGGTAATAGACGACTAGGCAAGGAACACAGGGTTGGGGAACAGATTTCAATGTTTTGATATGCAGTGTAGATCACCCAAGAAATGTAAGAAAATTGATATTCACCTGTACTTGGAGCAGCCTTTAAGTGAGATTTTCCTGACTAAACTGATTTCTTTGATATTTGCTTCCATTTCATATGATCAAAGTTGTTTAGATTGACTGATAAAAAGCTAGGTACCTTGAAGTAATATTACGGATTATAGGCATTGAAATGTCACTTGGAGTATCTTCTGCAGTGCTGACTCGGGTCACGTTGCTTTTTACGCAGGCATCTTTTGTACAGACTTCTACCTGCAAAGATTAGTTTGGAAAGGAATAAATATAATCATCTTCAAAACAGACCAATAACATTCTGAATCCACCTTCCCTCTCTTCATGTGAATCTCTTCAAGTCCTCTATAACCTCACGGGGCTTAGTAAATATTCATTTATTTTTACGTGAATTGAGTCCAGTGGCATGAGCTCAGAGCAGAATACAGAACTGAGCTCATGACAATTGATTTAGTGATTAGCATGGTGATGTTTGGTCTCTGGCTCTGACCACTCACAAAGAGAAGGGTTATTAATCTATTCAGAACGGCCAGAGAACGGGAGACGCTCAGGTGGCCATTCCCGAGCCTAATAGGTGATCTCCACACTGCGCCCAGATCTATAATCACGTGGTGTGATGATGCTATCTCCTGGACGTCTTGACACTTTACGACAAATTGCCTAAATGCTAATATCTAATGGGAGAAAAATGAAGCCAGGGAAAACTTCCCAATAGGGCTGAGGTATTTTCCATCCATTTGTTCCAGCAGCAATCGTCCATCCCCTTAATCGCAGCAGAAAATCATCACTCACCCCTTTAATTCTGCCACCTAGCTAGAATAAAAACTGAGAGGGTGGGAGAACTTAGGACCGGAAATGGGGCCCATCAAACATCAGTAACCCAAACGGTGTGCATCCGGAAGCTGAGGAGGAACATGCGGACACAGCGGAGACAGCTGGGGCAGCAGCCAGCACGTGTAGCGTTTTTCTACTCTCACCTAAAGGGTAAACCCAACCATATCTTTTCAAAAGATTCATTTACTTAAAAAATGTGTATGTCTGAGCGTATGTGTGTGGGACATGTGTTTGTAGATTCTGATGGAGGCCAGCAGGGGGTGCCGCCAAGTCCCTTGGAACTAGAGTTATAGGTGGTTGTAAGCCACCTGAGATGGGAGCTAGAAATAAAAGCTGAGTCTTCTGCAAGAGTCCCAAGTACCTGTAACCACTGAGCCATCTCTCTAGCCCTGAACTATACTTTTTCTCCTGCTAATTGACTTTCAATGTCTTACATGCAGAGGTAAAAGAATGCTTTGTACTGATGGTTCTTCAATTCTGGTACTGTAGTTTTGAACTCATCAGCCCTCAATTCTTTACAGCGGAACTTGAAGCAAGGTAGATTACAATCACACTACATTAATAGACATCATTTTGTTCCCAACAGTGTCGTATCTAAACAGGAACTGAGCAATGCTACAGGGTATCAGATGTGTTATCTACAGTTGTAATATTGCCTTTTGTAAAATAACATTTCATAGAAAAACGTTATCAAGATTCCCCACTATGATATAGTAAAGTATTCCTTTAGGGTAGATCATCTTAAAATACAATGTGATAGAATTAATGACATCAATTTTATGCATATTGGAAGATATCAGACTCAGGCACACAGTTAGATTAACCCCAGAAATGAAACCAAATTCATGATGTCTTTAGTATGTACAACAAATTCCTGATGAGCTCTTGACCAGATACTCTTTTAATGTCTTCTGGGTACAAAGCGATTGTTCGGATTTGTAGGGTGAGATGTCCATCTCGTCACATGTTACACACTACTTGCTTACAGCATGCTCTTAACCACCGAACTGCCTTTAAGGCTCCAGATGCTCGGGTTTTACAAAGCAACGGACCATGCTTCCTTCTCAGAGCTCAACCTTATCCCTCAACAGGGCCCCAAAGAAGGCCCCCAGTGCGTCCTCCATTGTTGTTCTGTGCGCTTTGCTCACAAAGCTGTATTTCATGGTTTTATGAATTAGCCCATATGTGGCCTACTTCTCTGTGTGAACTCTCCCCGAGGGGTGCGAGTGCAAACATCAGTTCACATGTGCCACGCTAACGTAACTCATGTAGGTTGTTGGAAATCAGAGTACAAAGAAAAAAAAAACAAAAACCCAATTCATGAAGGCTTCTTTTTGTTTCTATTGTTTCTTTCTGTTGTGTATGAAGCCAGGCCTGGGGTCCCGGCGGGGATGGCTGGAGGACTGCGGCCAAACACATGTGCTCCCTGCTCAGATGCGGCGAAGCTAGGTGTGGCACTGGCAGGACGCAGCACTGCGGACAACGTGTTCCTGGGGTCAGATAAGATTCTTGCGTTTAACGCCTTTTTGAAATTATTCATGAAATGCTCATGAATTTTACAATTTGCATAGATTATTTAAAAATTTACTAAATTGCAGCCTTCTTTTTAAAGGCTGAACTTCTGGAATCTTTTCGTCACTCATTTGATCCCTTGGCCTTGTTATCTCCTGTGTCTGACATCCATACAAGACTTTCAGTTCCCCCAGGAGAGCTGTATCGTAAATACTGTTGGCTTCGGTGTCTCTCCTGCTTTAGAGTCAGTAGACCCTGAAGAGGTCCACAGGCTTCGCACAGACAGCGTACTCTCTGAATTCTGTGATAAAATTTGCCAGGCAGTGTAAGTGTGTGAATATTCTGGGAAGGAGGCATGGACTTAGAAGCCTCTTCCAGACCCTCAAGGACAACACGTTAAATGCCGCCACGTCATGTGACACTAGTGTGTTTGCACGGTGCCCAGATTCACTCCTTCCCGAACTCACGCAAATTCCTTTGGAATCTTTCTATTTGCTGCATTTTATGTTTTCCCATTTCATTTGAAATCAGGAATGCTGGTAAAGGACAGAACAGCTCATATCATCCGTGCCACGCCCTTATAATGGCACCTATCGAGCCATCTACTCCCCTGAGTAAGTAGCAACAAAACAACAACAAAAACAAACCCAGAAAATCTCCTCATCAAGAAAGAAGACAAACTGGAAAGACTTTTAGGGTGATGATTTGATTAACTATATTTTACTGGCAGGCACTTAGTCATCTCCCTCATCATTACCAATGCCATCTTAGCCTACAGCCCTTCCGGGGGTGGAGAGGATTCAAATATGCGAACTCCTCACAGCCAACAGCTTTCATTTGGTCAATTTCCTTCTTCTGTCTTTCCTTTCCCATCAAACAAACACTAATCTGTAACCAGGACAGAGGGCCTCCACTCAGAGACACTGCTCAGCATGTTTTATTTAACACGTCTGCGAGCTTAACCACCCAAAAAGAAAGAAAACAACGTTCTGACCTGAATGTCATAGACAGTGAAGGGAGACAGGCCTTCCAGAATAAACGACCCTGGCACATCCACTCCAGCCTTGTAGGGCTTATCATTTACATAAACAGAAGACTCGGTGACAACGCCGTTTGCGTGTGCAGGAGATGTCCAGATGACACGTACAGCTGTACTGTTGATGATGACAGCCTCTGGAGGAAGCATGCCCCGAGGCTCTAGAATTAAAGGAAGGGACTGAATAAGCTCCAGCTGTCTCCGAGAAAAGCACTTGTTAGACTAAATGCAGATTGGTGTGGAGGCTTAGCAAAGGGCTCCTTGCTTATCTGCTCTCCTATGATGAAGCTATCACAGTCTGAAGTCCTCTGCAAATTGGCTTATTATACTCTCAGTTAGAAACCATAAGAATTGGTGGCAAAATGCTTCATACCACCAGCACAGTGCTAATCTTCAATGCTATGTGACCAGTGGGATATAAATGATAAATTACTCACCCGTCTGCACCTCTGACATGTATCTATTATTTGTTTTTTATTTTTTATTTTTAACTCTTCACCTTATCTCATTTTTTTTGGGTATGTGTGTGGAATTTGCTCCTTAAGCCAAATAAAATAAAATAAAATTGAAATACACCAAGGCTGCTGGAATGTGAAAAATCATTTGCTGTTACTAGCTTGTAACTCAAGCAATATGAAACGATAATGCAATATTGTCATTATGTAAATGATTTTGAGTGTTGATTACCATAGGTAATGATGAAATCTAACATTAGAAAAAAATCTTGCTTAGCGTTAAATTACACAATTATTCAGGCATGTCAGAAATAACTATGCAAAGGCCTATTTTTATCATAAGAACTCATCTTAACTAGTTGAAAAATCATCCTTGTGACTCATCCTATTTTATAAACAAAAGGTGTCGACCTTTGGCATCACAAAGGGAAATGGGTTCCACACTTAAAGAGTTCTGCTAATGGCCTGGAACGCTTGCTTGGCAGGTAACGATATTATAATGTTTATAATGAGACCATATAAAGCCAGAAAGATTAGAAAGACCATGCCAGACTCATTTCCGACTCACAAGTTGATTCCCCAGCTCCCTCTCCTTCACTAACTGGCTTAGAAACAGGGACATACACAATTCTTCTCTGAGGCTGAACTTCCACCTACTGTTTTTTGGTGACTCAGGGAAGACGCTCCCTGAGCTTGGGTGTCATTTTGAAAAGCACAATGCTTTTGAGGGCTAATCTTAGAAAAAAGAAGTTTCTAAATGTCACCTTTTATTGATGTGAACTGGATCCCAACTAAGCCTGTTCAGAAAGGAACAAGGGAAAACTGGGTGGATGGCTGATTATTACAACTCCATGCTGCTGCTGTAAGGGAACTGGTTTATTCATTCATCCTTCATGACAATGAACACATAGCGTTTGGTTCCTACCCTCTTTCTTCCAGCATTAGGAATATTGATAGAGGAGGGACAACCGATGTTAGCTCCAGAAAGGCTCAATCGAAAGCATTGGCATCCCTGAAGTCAAGAACCTCTTGAAGGCTTCACTTACCCTCATCATATGTGGTCACATGGACCACTGTGCTATTGATTCCATAGACTCCATTGAAAACTGAGAGGAAAATCTGATACTCAGTATTTGGAGCTAAGTGACCAATGACATGAGAATTTACATCTGGGGAGATTTTCAAAGATTCTTCCGAGGTCCCAGAATTCCAAAACAGTGTGTAATAATCCACATCACCTTGTAGATCTTGGAAAGCTATTAACAGAAAACATGGAACACTGTTTATGTGGCAGATAAAAAAGGCAGAATAAATCTTTTGTTAACTATTTCTAGAATGAGACAGAAGTAAGAAGGCAGAAATTCAGCTTTAAGAAAATTTCTGGAACCTTATTTGTGGTAAAGCTGTTGGGAGTTAGAATTTATCTTAAAACAAGCTTTATTTTTCTCTTTATAACCAATTGAGACATTATATTAAGGAACATATACCTTAAATTTTCTCTTGAATATTCTAATTAGCTATTGATAGTTATTCAAATAACCTTCAAAATATGTGCAGCACCAAGCAAGCCACTGTGGAGGACTTTTGTGACTTCTCTCAAGGATGCCTTTACATCAGCATCTTAGGGTTCATGCATAAATGGAAAGTTTTAGTTTAGGTATTTTCCCTTACCATGATACTATACTTTGTCTCTAGCAATATTTTAAAACAATGGGTATGCCCGAGTGCTTGGAAGAGTTTATGTCGGAAGACTTTGTCATTACGTTGGCAAACCCTGGAGACACTGAGTCGTTCATTCTCTCCAGTGTAACCAATCACACTCACGGCCCTTCATATTCCTAAAGATAATATCAGTCAAGCCCAGCGAAGCCCCATGGATTGTCTGTGGAAAAGTTTCTTTTCTCATTAGAAATATTTTTCATTGGCTTAGTGGGAATATCACTCACTCATCTATGGCCATTCCACAGCACGGGGAGATGTGTTACATGTCAAGTCTGTGCTACTTGACACCTTGACCAATTAGGCTAACCTGAGAGTTCAAACTTTATGACATTATGGAAGTGTTTCTGAATTGCTATATGTGACAGACTTTCTGGGGAGATACACCACAGACGGATCTACTCACCCCAAAAAGGGAACCCATCAAAGAGCAAATACCAAAGTATCAGTTGAACAAACGCTTGATTTGGTGAACCAGTGCTTTCTTCTTCTGAGTCACTAACAGGAGTGTGGATGGGGGGGTCACTGAGCAGGAGCATGGGTAAATCAAAAGGAGCTGCATCCCTGGAAATCCTACCCCTCAATGGGTGATGGATGCCAAAGCCAGCAACCCTGGGGCTGTCCTCAAAGCTTGCAGGTGGCACCACCAACTGAATGTGTCTTCCCCAGTTTGGCTGGCTATCATCCCCACTCCCAGCAAGTGTTTACTCTTTCTGCACTGTTGGGAAGGGCTCTCCCGAATCTTCCAATCATCCAGAGCACATGACCTCCTATTTACCCCTGAGGCTGGTGGGCTTCCCCTCATTCCTAGAGGAAACATTCCAGTTTGGCGGGAATGCTGCAGTTCATGGAACATGTCGTGTGCACCACAGAGGTAAATGGATTTTACTTGTGCTATCGATGTTCCTCGGGAGCACATTTAGATTCATAGATTACGCATATTGGAACTGGCAGTGTGCGTTTAAGGAGAGCATAGATATCATGTCAAGGTCTGAAGAAAATCCTTTTCCTGCCCAATCTTAGCATGGTTCCATTTGCCAACTCACTTGCCATAGAATGCAGCTACTTACTGCCCAGGGATGAGAGAAAAGGTGATGGGTTAGTCCTGCTGCAGATGCCCTCAGGAATGTTATTCGTTCCAGTCTTGTGACTAGAAACAGGCAGTGGACCTGAAAGCAGGACTCACCTTTCTACCTTGTCTTGTCTTTTGCCATATCAGAAGACATTACAGTTCAGAGTCCCAGCACAGGCAAACAGCAGGGACATTTTGTATTGCTACTAGTCACAATCGATCGCACGGGATGTCCTGTGAGGCTGGATACAGAGTCTGCCTGCATTGCCTTTCCCTAGTCAGCAAAACACTTAAGAGACGGGTGATCAGCCTTCATTCAGAAGGCAGTACAAGTTAGAGACTGCTGGCCTTACCTCCTCTCTGAGAGAGGAAGAGTTTTAACTGAATTAGTTAGGAAGAGGAAGCTGCTAAATCTTCCTGAGGAACATTCACCTTTTCTGTCTATTGATAAAACTGCCTTGAAAGTAATTTTCCTTTTCTAAAAGAGGAAATTACGTTATATGGATTCTTCATTACACAAGACAAGGGAAATGTTGCCTAGAAGATTCTTTCTCTGTATACTATTATTTTCATGAGGAGGAGATGGAAGTTTTAGGAAACATTTGAATAATGTCCTTCAGAAATAACCAAAAGGACATGTCTTTATGAAAACAGGTGCCTGGAATTGTTAAGAGGCTTGATTTGGGATGGAGTACAGATCTACCTTGGTTAAGAAGGGGAAGCAAATACAAACAGGGAAGAATTAAAACCTGCATCGAATGAAGAAAAGCAGCAGAACTTCAGATACACAACACCAAAGACCGAAGAAAAACCTACTTTCCAGAGTGGTGAAAAGGTACAAACCACAACGGTAATCTGCCCATAGCACACACTGGGGCAAGCGTGGTATACGTTCTGTAAGTAACCAACCACTTTCAGAAAATTGTACTTAAGGCCCACTCCATGAGATGGAATCCATGCTTGACATTTTTAGAGGGACCAAGAACTCGAGACTAGATAAGTCCTGGGTCTATGCGAAAACCTACTACTGTTCTGCTAAAGGAACACAGCTATGACACGTCTCCTGGTGACATTCATAGACCAGCCCCTTCCTCAGAACTCCTCAGCGAAGATTCTTCTCGCAATAGATGATAATTAACAGAGACTCTCGGTTGGACAACGTGCACCAGGCCCCAAAATTTCCACAGCCTTTCAAAGCAGCACCACCTACTGGGAACCAAGTCATCAAACACACAAGCTATGAGGACAGTCCACATCCGAACACAGCAGAGGGGAGAAGAATCAGACAAGCTTCAGAGGCTCAGCTGAAGAATTAGGCATTTGATGGGAATAGAATAATATCAGCATGTTTTGAGGGAAAACCTTTGATCCAAGGATTTATATATACCTAAATAATCATTTATGTGCAAAAAAAAAAAAAATATCAAAGGTATTCCTGTCCTGACAGAAATGAACTGAATAGGCAAAGATGGCAGAAATACTATCTTACATAGGCAAAAATGAACATATATCAAACTTTGTGATGATCCAGTGAGATGTCTCTGAGGGGAAAGCACTGGCTCTCACAGCCCAACCTGAGGTCAATCTCGGGAAGCCATGGTGGAAGAGATCAACTCCTCAGTGGTTTCCCCTCTGACTTGAGCTGACAACTCGGGCATGGGTGCACACCTACACACACACACACACACACACACACACGCACGCACTCATAGCCATAATAGTAAAATAAGCAAGTGAATGTTCATGATCAAGCTCTTTGGATTCATCACCCAGAGGAAAGAAAGGTGAACTGAAACCCAGAATTTAGGACTGGGGAAATTTAATGATTGATGCTAAGTGCTGGAGCCAATTTGAGAAAATAGTTCTATATAATATTTTATAATATAAAAATAATGTATAAAGAAAACATTGAGAATTAGAAGAAGTAAGGAAAGCATTAACCCATTAATTCCCTATTATTTGCAAAACAGAGATGGAAAACAGTAAAAGATACCACTAAGCATAAACACACACTAAATAATAAAGATAAATCTTTCAGGAGAATGTAGAGATTATTGTCTTTAGGTGGAATCTTTTGATGGGTAAATGAGATAAAATGCTACTTTTTATTTTCCCTCATGCTTTAGGCATGGAGGAAAAGAGAGAAGGAAAATATAGTCTCAGTGCAGGAAACGTACAGTGCCTAGTCTGCTTCCCCTGAAAAGAGTCTGAAAGCATGCAGACATATTTCCATCTCACGTTACACACATAATCGATGGAAGCAAACTCTCAAGTAGCTGGTCAAATGGTTTTGAGCCGACCCTTCTCCGAGTTAACCTTTGTGCTCACAGAGAGTTTTCTGAAAAATTTCCAAGGTATGAATGGAAATAACAGCAGGTTTTATTGCCTACATCACAGGAAAAATAAGAATGTCAGATGTCTTCTCTTTGTCAACTTGGGATTGGTAAAAATTTACCAGGGACATTTTGCTATTAACACGATGCGCACTTGTACAAATCATAACCGAGAGAAAGACTTGCCTTTTGCTTTAATGTTCTCTCTGTGATATGTGTGCATGTGCAGGTAGGTGTGTTTGAGTGTGCAGACACCATGGTGCATGCATGGGGGTCAGAGGTCAGAGGGATTTCCTGAAGGTCAGAGGTCAGCGTTGATGTCCGCCTTCTACTTTGAGGCACAGTCTCTTGTCCATTGCTGTGTTTAGCAGCTGAGCTGTGCTGCTCTGTTATAGTGTGTGAGTGTGTATGTGCAGACACCCACATATATTTATTTAATGGTTTCTTGAAAGATGATGTTTACTAAAGAAAGAGGCAAAAACTTATTTCTAAGATTTCCAACTCCAAGATGTGCTAAGCTACAGCTTCGCACTGTTCAACTTAGTAGGCTCTGTGCCAATTTTTCTTACATGAGCCAAAAAAAAAAAAAAAAAAAAATTAGTGTTGAGAAAATAGGCTGCTCTTGACAGAGAAGGGGCTAGGTAAGTTAGTTAAGGTAGCAGTTGCCCTGAGGAGGGACAGGACCCTGCAATCAACTTCCACAGCCCACCTTTCTCGGACGTATCCTTTGTGCTCACAGAGTTATCTGAAAAATTTCCAAGGTATGAATGGAAATCACAGCAGATTGCATTACCTACATCCCGAAGGTCAGAGGTTCTGATTACTGAGGTAATGAAACTTCAGCGGGCTGCTTCAGATCTATTAGTTTTGTCAGCTTCTATAAGCACACTGACTTCAGGAACGCAGTGATATCACAGAGGATATACTCGAGGGAAAACACAGCACCCAGAATGTCACTGTAGTTTTCAAGTACACAGGGGTGTGTGTGTGTGTGTGTGTGTGTGTGTGTGTTTGAGTGTGCATGCGCACACACATGTTACTTTTATGGGCAAGTTGTTGAGCTGAATTGGTGAATGGGTGAACACACACACACACACACACACACACACACAAACACACAGAAATTCAACTTCTGATAAAACTGATTTTTCCTGGAGATGTGACAGAAGGTAATCACAAGATCTATTACTTACAAAAGTTTCCCACTAAAATGGTTCAGTTATTCTAACAGAAACTTCACAGATCATTAAAAAAACAGCAAACTTACAGAAACCCAGGGCTTTAAAAAAAATAAATTATTGGGTGGAAGCCTCAGATCAACACTATGCCGCCCTATACTAACGTCCCTCAGGCCACACGCTGGGCTTGGTTCTCTGTGTCTTGCAGTGACAGGAGCCCCGTAGGAGCCGGTACCCAGCGGGGGTTGGTTAGCTGCCTGGGACACGCTGAGATGGATACTGAAACATGGCCTCTTGCTCTTGCTCTAAAACTTCAGGATGTGAGCAGTGTCCTTCATCATGTACCTGCGCACTGCCTTACCAAGGCCCCAAAGCTCCAGAAGAAGAGACCGTCGACCCAAACACTGACACCGAGTTGCTCTACTCTTTCCTTCCACGTACATGGATTTATTTTGATATTTTAATCATTGTGATGGAAGAGTGACTGACACAGACATTGCTCTGGTTTGCAGTCGATGACGTCAAACCCTGGTCCTCACGCATCTTGGCTGGAGAGTTTATGCAAACCCACTCAGGTCTTTCCAGGCCGGAACAGACTCCGGACTGGCTCGAATTGTGCTAATGGCTGTCATTGTTATAAACATATTTTTGTATAACAGTGGGTAATTGTTCTGGTGAGTCAAAACATTTAATCAAAACATTTTAATCAAACCTGTACAAATTAGATATTTTTTTAATATTTAGTAAAAAACTGACAAGTTTTGATTTGGTCGTTTTTCAGACCTTAAGTCATGCTTGAAAAAAAGGGTTAGTATCAATATTTCCATAACAGACCCAGGACTTTATTATTATTATTTTTTTCTGATTCTTATGAGGCATCATATATGAGCAGATCAGATGTTAAATGCTATGCCGTTAGGTCACTCTGGGATTTCACTCACTATGGTTTCGGGAGTGTTATAAAGGCAGACGGATTCATCTGTGTGTTCTCACAAACCCCGAGAAGTGTTCTATCAGGCCCAGGTGAAATCTTTAATCCAGCAACAGTGTGTGGTGATGGCATTCCGTCACCAGCCAACACTCAGCACGCTGTATGGGACAAGCAATCACACTGTCGCAGCCTTGGAATTTGTCAAAGGTGCTACGTCTCAGAGCTGTGACGGATCACAGTCCTGCACAGTGTACGGCAAACACTTGGACTCTCTGCTATCCAGTCTCCTCACTGACGGGAATGGAGCTATTCCCATCTGAAGCAAATATGGGAGGGGCTCACTGGTCCCGAGAGAGGTAAGGAGGCTCTGTCTGTTAAGAAGAGCATTCCAGGACTTGGAAGATGCTGTTGAAAGTTTGACTGCCATCCCCAGAGCCCACATAAAAATACTGGGCCCGGTGGTGTCTGCTGGTAACAGAGTACTGGGAAAACAGAAACAAGCTTATCCCTGAGGCTTGCTAGGGAAGTCATGAGTTCAAGGACAGTGAGAGAAACAACTATCTTGAGGAACACCACCTTCGGTTGACCTCTGCCATCCCCACATACTTGTCCATATACATATGTACATGTACATGTGAACAGAAACACATCTGCATATGTGAATAAATCTGCACATAAATAGCTTAGGTACCTTGACTTATTTATTCTTAATGTACCATTTGAATTTCCTAGCTGGGTGCAGTGGTGCACGCCTGTAATCCTAGCATTCAGGGAGGCAGAGGCAGGGAGATCCTGTGAGTTCAAGACCAGCCTGAGCTATAAAGGGAGTCCAAGTCAGCCAAGGCTACACAAAGAAACCTTGTCTCAAAAACCTAAACAAACAAACAAAAACAACAATAAAAAATATTTCTTATGGTGCTGTAGTGGTTTGAATGAGAAATGTTCCCCCACAGTCCCAGACATTTGAACACTTGATGCCAAGTGTTTGGAGAGGTTTAGGAGACGTGGCCTTGCTGGAGAAGGATGTCTGTGCCATGCTGCTAGCTGGCGTGTCTCCTATGTGGTGGACTTTAATCCTCTGGATCCATAAACCCGTATGAAATCTTCCTTCTTTTAGTTGCCCTGGTCACATGTTCTATCAATCAACAGAAAAGTAACTTAACACAGAGCTAGCATGCAGAGGAGACACAGAGACGTAGAGAGCTTTCTTACTTGGTTTCTCCCATCTCACGTCTACGGCCGTGTGGTTAAGGACGCTCACGGTGACAGTGGCTTCTTTCTCTGGGACCCCCGCTAAGGTGGTCACTGTCGCTCCTTGGCTTGGGGTAAAGCCCACGCTGTTGTGTACAAAGAGCTTATATTCGTACGTTGTAAACCTGAAGGTTTTGTTTAAAAAAACAAACAGAAACATACATTATGTTCAGTGGAAGACAAATGCATTTAATTTTTTTCTTCATAAAATACAGAATTCCTTTCCACAAAATGCTCAGTTTCCTTTTCCTTCTAGGAAATGCATTGTTTCCTTTCTTCCTAACCCAAAACATACCATTATCTCCATAACCCCCCAGCTTCCACCAGAGTGTCAGGAAAGCATTTTATTTGGAAGCAGTAAGCAAATATCAGTCTTTAAAATAAACGTGCGTTATCGTCTCCCTGTTCTTACTGTTTTCAGAAGCGGTGAGGATTATGGCTCAATTCAAGATGTAATTACAAGGCTGGCAGCTTGCCAGCTTTCTGTCCCAATACTATCCAGAGAGTTTTATTCTCTTCTTTAGGGAAACTCATCCATTTTCAAATATCAGGCTCTATCATCATTTTCTTCCTATGCTTCTTTCCTGTGCCTGGACTATCATTGGCTGTCAGATAAATGCTTAAATGAAGCCTCACTTGTGAGCACAGTGCACAAGCTCATCCCTCTGAGAGTTTGGTGACAGCGAGGTATGCTGGACCCCATGTGCACATGCTGATTTGAGTCAATACAGAGGAAATGGAGCATCACTTTGCCAAAGGAGAAACATGTAGCATGATACGAACTTCTTGAAATTGTTACTTTAATTCCTTGCCTCTTTGGCTCGTTCAAGCAGGCGCCCAGTGGCTTTATCTTCTTGGTTCAAAATTGCCTGAGTAGGAAAATGCTATTTATAGACAGAATCAGGCCCTGACTTTACAATCATCTGTATGGAGAGAGTCATATAGACATGCTGAGTGATAAGTGACTGTCCCAACTTCAGCTTCATTTATCTTCTAATTTGGGGTCATTATGTATTCCTAGGGTATCCAGAGCCCACAGTGTTTGTTTGTCTCAATGTGTCACAACCCCTGCTTGTCACCATAAAAAGAGGAGGGTGTCATTTCCAAGAACTTCGCTAGATAGTTTGACCAAAGTTGCACTCGGGATTTTAGAACATTTTCCTAGCTCTAGGTGGATTCTGTTTGTCTTCTCTTCTTCCCTACTTAGGACCCAACATTCTAAAGACTGGAATTTTGCCTCATTCGTGTAGAAGGAAACTACTCAGTTGCTGTAGTGACCGGTGACGGCTCAGTGGGGCTTGGGGGTCACTTATTGGTTTATTTTCCTAAATGAGAGCTAGCATTAAACTTTCTGCCTGTCTCTGCTTTATAGCTCCGTCTTCTTTTCAGGTGTTCATTGCTTGTCTGCCTCTTCCTCATCTTCTATTCTCTTTCCCTCATTTTCCTCCTTTCATGAATGGATTCATACCTGCCTCATCCCCCCATGGGGAGAGGGAGAGAGAGAGAGAGAGAGAGAGAGAGAGAGAGAGAGAAAGAGAGAGATTCTGAAGTCTAGTGTGTTCTTATTCACACTATAGGATATTTGTACACTGAATGAGTCAAGAGGGAACCTGGCTTAGAGAACACTCTCCATACAATGGCTGCCATCTTGTGAGAGAAGAGAGAGAACTTGTGATGCAGTCAGACTCAGGGAAGGAGATGGTGTACATGGAGATGAGGGGAGAAACAGGAGTGATGTCCCCACAAACACCAGCACGCTGGGACCACCAGAAGTTAGGAGAAGCCGAGATTGCCCTCTGAAGCCTCTGGAGGGAGGTTGGCCTTGAAGAGAATTTGTTTGGTGGCCCTACCTCTGAGCACTCTAACAGGGTACCCCTGTGCCAGTGTTCTGTGTCCAGACACTCAGCTTGTAGAACTTGACTTTAGCCAACACTGGGAAGATACCCGTCTGTGTGCTTTCCACCAAGTGCTAACTAGTCTGTGGGGCTGAGGCAATTGAAAGGTGACAGCTGGTTATTTCCTATGGTCCAGATAGTCCTACACATGTCAACCCATCCACTTCTCACAGCATAACTAGAAAGTGCCAATTTAGTATGGATTTTCAAAGTGAGGAAAATAAGTATTAAATAGCTTGTCCAAGTCAATGGACTCCTCAGGAGAGCAGAGATTCAAATGCAGGCTGCCTGATTGAAGAGCCCTCTGAACTGGTGCAGCACAGGGCACTGCCAGCATGATTAGAAAGTAATAATAATAATAATAACAATCCAGTGATAACCTGCCTTGTCCCTGTTGGGATGATGTCACATGGCTGGGGCTTGACCTTGGAGACTTTTCTGGAGGGGAGGGGCTGGTTTACCTCTGCATTGAGGCTGCCTGCTCAGTTTCCTCTGTGACCCCAGGATGAATGTGAAGGGTGTTGACTCAGGGTTAAGAGGGTGGCGGGTCCGAGACAATGGAAGAAAGGGAAGATAATGGCTCACGTGGGAATTGAACCAGCGACCTTGGCTTCATTAGCTCTGTCCCTGGGTGAAATACGTATAATTGTATTTCAAGTCATAAAATGGCCTTATTCCTTTAGCTGAAGACTAGATGCCTAATCTTCTCCACTATATTTGAGCTTTTCTTCCATATGTTGATGTTATCATACAATTAGCAACCTTCGTGGCTCCCAGTGACACCATGGTTTTAGTCCTTTGCTTGGTCAAGTTAATAGCACAAATATTTTCTGTTGTGTTCAAATTTTGGAGGACCTCCCTTTTGTGATATTTCCAGAATTTTATCATAATTTCATGTAATATGCAATTCAGATAGATAAGGATGTGTGTGTGTGTGTGTGTGTATATATATATATATAATGAGGTCAGTTGGTTTAGGGAGCATTCTGAATATATAATGGCTATATACAATACAATCTCAACTACATATATAATATACACACATATATGTATAAACATAATAAAACACAGAAGGCACAGGCCATATGGATACATGCAACTGGAAAGGTGGCTTTCAAGATGGTACTACAACTTCTAAAGTAGAGCTGCCTTTAGAGCCCATCTACTTCAAATAATTAAATGTCTTCTCTGTATCAGAGATTAAAAACCAAACCAAACCCCCGGACCCTGAGGAGTTAAACGGGTTCACCGAGAGGTTTTCAGAGCTGCATGTTAGTGTTAATGGACTACTACTTTTTCGCTTCTGAGGACTCTGTCTTTCTACTGCTTCACTTAACTGAGGGGTCAGTGTGCAGTCATGTGACATCACATTTTTGCCTTTTGTCTTTTCTTTAACTTTAAAAGAGAACTGCAAAGATTATTTTTCACGTGTGTGTTCTCAGGTGCCTCACAGGCCAGAAGGGGGCAGAGTCCCCAGCATCTGGAGTTACAGGCAACTTCTGGGTACCCCTATTTGGATGATGGGAATCAAACTCAGGTTCTCTATGGGCAGCTAGTGCACTTACCTGGCGAGCCACCTCTCCTGCCCCTCACTCTCTAACTTTTCAGAAAATCTCTCTCTCCTTCTAAGTGTGCAGTTTACTGCAAACCATAATTAAAAATTAAATGTCTGTGTTTTCATGTCTGTATTTTCTATGTTGCGAGTTTGAGACTCCTATTTTATTATAGGTACATGTGTGTGTCTTTGTGTGCTTGTGTGAGTTCAGGAGTTGTGCATGAGGCGTTGGGCCTCATGGATCTGGAATGACAGGCGGGTGTGAGATGTGTCACACAGCTGCTGAGAACCTAACTCAGCAAGAGAACTACACATTCTTAGCGACTGAATCATCTCTCCGGCTCCAGCAAACCCATCTTTACTTAGTAACAGTATATTCCTGTCACTCGTCTACACAACTATGTGGTTCCCATTTTACCCCTATGCAGAAGGTTGAGTTAGTTGTTTGGAAGCAGCTTTTCTATTCCTTCTCTCTACCACCTTTTCAGTGAACTTAAGTGTTGATTGTCGGTGCCAAATGAGGCATTCCACTTAATAATAAAGTGAACAATAGGCCAGTTGACACCATATCATCATAGCAAGACCTATCCTTGCAGACTGCTGTGGCAACAGCAAATATAGACTGTTCTGGTGCCACAATGCTGCCATTTTCCTTTATGCAAAACAGCACAGGTTAAAATCTTATTTATGTAACCATTCTCATTTCAAAGTCCAGTGGCTCTAACTCAAAAGAATGAAAGTGAACTAAATTCTCTTTAGATGAAAACAACAACAACAACAACCACAAAAACTTACTAGATTCTGTGTAATTGATGCAGGTTTCATCTGCTCACCTATCAAAGTTACTTGTGGGAGACAAACAGGTATGTCACAGTTCCTAAATCAGTCAAAGTCAGTCAGCCTCACATGGAATTTGGTAGGTTAGTCACACAAACATCTGCTTGTCCAGCAGAAAAATGATCCCCGTTGAGTCTCAAAGTATTCTTTGGGTAAAATACATCAAAACCAGATGGTATTTGCTGTAGTGAGCAACACCATTTCAGCCATTCATTTGTTCATTTCTTCCAACCTTATTTCCTGAATGCCAGCAGATGACTGCTGCATACAAAGAATCCAGAGCTTGCTTCCTGTCCTGCTGGAGCCAGAGCACGTGAAAGCCCTTGAGGATGTTTTCTATTATTTGGGCAAGAGTGTGTGTACTCTGGGAGCTGGGAGCCATGGAGGCCGGTGATGGCTGTTGGCTGTTTTTCTTTCTCAGTTTATTTCCACCTTAACTTTTCAGGTAGAGTCTCTAGCTTGATCTGGAGTCCACTGATTGCCTGTCTAGCAAACCCCAGGGGTTCCGTCTGGGCCTCCCCAGTGCTGGGCCCACAGGCACAGGCTGTGCAGCACCTGGCATGGATTCTGGGGACCTAAGCCAGGTCCTCATGCTTGCATAGCAAGGACTTTACTCAATGGGTCACCCAGCAGGCTTGTGGGGATGTCTGGAATGAGAAAATGTAGACTGTGTTCATCTAGAATGTTCTCTTCCTCCCTTTTTCTTTGGGTGCAAATCAGTCAGACCATATAGTTAAACCTCACCAAGGAGGAGGTATGATTTTCTCAAGCTCTTGATGACAAGTGGGATTTAGTGTGGGAGGCATTTTTCCAGTGAAAGTTACTTTGATATTTTATGTCAAAATGCGTACAGGCTTGTAGCTTGGAAAGCTCAGGTGTATCTGGTTAACTTCAGCATGGCTGAGAATGACTTGGACAATTTTCCTCAGAATCAAAACTGTGTCAACTTTACTGAAAACCTTCCAGACCTCGTCCTTCAATACTATCACCATCACAGATGATGCTCTTGGAGACGCAGGCTCATTGGGTGCTGCATCCACTATGCTGTCCTCATCCCTGCCACAAACGCAAGCTTGCCTGAGGAGGGGCTCATGATGGATCTGAGAGACCTCATGTGAACCGATGAGCCTCAGCTTCCCCATCCTAGTGGGTACAAGGAAACACACTAACAAATGACCCCTGCCTAAGATAGTCACACATATAAAGGGTATTTTTCTTTAAAGTAAATTATATGTGTAATTGGCTTAAGAACCTGCATTCTATAATAAGACTCAGAAGAGAAAACTACTATAGGAAAGTTCTGAATTTCAGGTTATAGAAATTGTGCAGAAAATTTGCCAATGCTGTCTGAACTATTTTTCTCTGTAGTAAAAATACAGCATAGTAAACAGACTACTCGAACAAGGCGGTGACTCCAACTTCCCTTTAATTTCCTAACTATATTTATAAGGACATGCCCAGTCTTTGATAATTATATATTTTGCATTGGAATAATTGTCACTTAACCACTGATCTAAATGTGTCTATAATGATCAGAATGAAACAAGGTGGGGGTCTGGAGAGATGGCTCACAGGTTACAAACAGAGGTTGCTCTTCCAGAGAACCTGGGTTTGATTCCCAGCACCCACATGGTGGCTCGCAACTGGCTGTCAGTTCCAGGGATTTGATGTTCTCTTTTGGCCTCTGTGGGCATGGTATGCATGTGGTACACAAATATACAGACAAGGCAAACCCCATAGATAGAAAATTAAATGTGTGTGTGTGTGTGTGTGTGTGTGTGAGATGTGAAAAACACTTCAGTGTCCTATTTCTATTTTTTAATGTAAATAGAAGTAAAGAGGGAACAAGGAAATTTGGTGAGAATATGAAATTAGATATGTCTTCTAAAAAGAGATGGACTCAATTAAGGACAACAACAGAAAAACAGCCAAATGGATAAATCAATAGGATAAACAAAGTCAGCCTTCTGTGCCCTGGGGTTCCATAGCCTCAGATTCAACCAACCATGAATGGAAAATATTTAGAAAAATAACAGCATCTGGTACTGAACCATTTTTTTTTCTTGTTTCATTCCCTAAACAATGCAGTATAACAACCCTTCACATTTACACCTTCCCCAGCATTGCAAGCCGTGCAGGAATGACTTATGCATATGCCAGCCTGTGTGTCAGGGTAGAGGCAAATCCTTCACAGTTTTACATAAAGGACTTTGAAATTCACGGTTTATAGCACCTATGGGGATGGGTGGTGGTCCCAAAGGTGATTCCCCCAGATGCCAAGGGAAACCGGGTAGGTCCAGGGGTAAGGTTCATCTTGGTTTCTTGATATGCTGGCAGCTGTGGGTCACCAGAGGAAGGAGATCTCCAGCTGTTGTCAGGGTAGCTGCAGGCAGCACGTGAGTCAGCAATGGGCACTCATCCATCTCCTTTGAGCCCTTCTGAGGGTTAATTTCCAGCCCTCACACTGCTGAGATGGCCCACTTGAGCAAAAGTAGCCTAAACAAAAGTATCCTGAACGTTTTTGGACTTACAAATGGTGGACTGGTAAAAAAGACTGGCCTTGTGCTATATATTTTGAATGTTAAGGAAAATAAAAATTCATATCTTCCCCTTTAACCCCAACTGTTTATGGGTGTAAGCAATTACTTACTAGATAACTGAAGATGACCTGGAACTTCTGACCCTCCTGTCTCTACCTGCCTCAACACCCTTTTTATTCTCCTTGCTCAGGATTTAACCCAGGCATTCCTGCATGCCAGGCAAGCACTCTACCAACTGAACTTAGTCTCCAGTCACTTAGTTTCTTGAATAAAAACAGTAACCCCTGTTTCAAGCTTCAGTGTGGAAAAAAGTGTTTTTGACTTTAGCCTCATAAGCTTACTAAGATTCCCTCAACACAATTTTGTTTATCTGCACAGTCTTTCTAGAAATAGCTGCCAAGAGCACATTTATTTCAACTCATATTCAGACCAGCAAGAGAGTGGACAGGCAGCTTCCTGTAAGGAGAACCATCTAGCTAAGGCTGGAAGTGAGACTCATTCTGATGATGGGAAGGGGCTGATGAAGAATGAGTTCAGAGGTGGGAATCTCCATGTTTGCCATCGTGAGTACAGTGAGGGTGAGTCTGAGAGGCAGGGATGGAGGAACAAGTGATGGATGGTAGGACATTAGAACAGGGCTCAGGCCATGATTACTCTGTGGGTGGCCTAGAGAAATAACCAACCTAACAGAAAGGTTACTGAAAAATATAACTGGAAACTTTCACGGAAGACATTCGTGTATTTTTTTTGAAACTTCTTCACATTGCCTGGACCAAGAACATTAAGAAATCCCTGGGTCCTGTGAATGACAGACAATACAGGTGAAGCCCAGAGATGGCAAAAGGTTCGCTTCCTTAGCAGGAGACAAAAAAGAACTTAGCTCAAATTCTATCATATGGTAAATGTTTTTGATGGATATCACCTACTGGCTGTTTTTGCTTTAAACTCTAGATTCGGCTCTCTCAAGTCTCACTAATCCAATGACTCATAACCCATTACCTCCTGTGACGCAGGCACGTGCAGAGAGCACTGCCCCCATCTCCAGAGTTCCACCTACACATTCAAAACTTCCACAGCTTTCCTAAGTTTCATGTCTAGATAGAGCTGTGACAAAAGCAACAGGCCGGGCTCACACATCTCCAAGTTTGACTTGAAAGGCTTATTTCAGGCACACAGTTGAGATGGTAAACACTGAACATGCCTCGGCTGCACTTCAGTGATTAATGCCACAGATAATAACTGAACATATTCTACTGTGTGACTGATAACAGGTTCACACAACGAAGACGCTGCGGTACTTTGAACCATTCAACATGCCCCAAACTAAATGCCAGCATTTGTTTTTATAGTTTTTGTAATCTCACCTGCTAAGACCCTTATCTTTGTAAAACCACCGAGTTCCTGAATAAATATTGTGCCACAGATTTAAATCTTCTGGGGGATTTGAAGCGAGTGGCTGCCGGATTTTACGTCTCAGAAGCTCGTATCTAAAGCAAAAGACAAGCAGGAACATTGTGATTGTCTCAACTCCTGTTATTACAGAGGTTCAGGGAGTGGAGCGCCTGTGTGTGATGCACGCCTGCAAACATACATAATACCGTAGTGCAATTACGAAGTGTTTCCAGATAAGCATTTTTTTCCTGTCCCAGCTATCATATAGTCTGTTAATTGTAAATTACCATTTCCACTCACATCTTTTGATCACCAGTGGGAATGGTGGAATTTTGTGTTTCTGTGTCAGATTTGCTCGATATTTGCTGAGAGTTTCACACAAAGTTGGACTATAAAAATCTTATCCAGTTAAAGATTTCCCGAGACTCATACCATCAAATTTTTATAAACAATAATAATATTATCTCCTGTTTTCTCTGCCAAGTATCTAGTTCTGGCTGCTACACAGCCATTTTAGAATCATAGCTCTTTGCGCCCGTCTTATCTCCTAGAACATTCTTCACACGTGTGCCCAGGGGAGATATGGAAACAACTGTGGTGAACTTTATAATTCAGACTCAGTTGTCCCATGTTACACAGAACAAGCATCAGAGCTGCCTAACAGAATAAGAATATTATTTTGAAAAGAAAGAGCAGGATAACGAATCGAAATCTTAGCTATGTGAAAAGGTCTTTAGTCTGTTTAGTCTGTTTCAATGCTTTGGTGCTCACTCTTCTAAAGATTTATTTATTTATTGTGTAATCAGCGTTCTGTCTGCAAGTATACCTGTTTGCCAGAAGGCCATAGATCTCATTATAGTTGGTTGTGAGCCATCACATAGTTGCTGGGAATTGAACTCAGGACCTTTGGAAGAACAGCCAGTGATCTTACCCTCTGAGCCATCTTTCCAGCCCTATGGTACTCACTCTTATCAGATGAGCTCTCGTTTCCATTTAAATCAAGACATGCATGTTAAGAATAGAGGACATTGCAGACTTATTATGAGTTTGTGGAGGTGGGTATGGAATTTGGTATGGAATTAGTTCTAACTGAGATGTGAATGTAATCCTACTTTCCTACTTCTTGGCATGATGCATCCAAAACAAACCCCACAGCAATATTACTTTCTCTACCTCAAATTGGGTCCATTTGGCTTGGCTGGTGGCTGCCAAGAAATCTTGATGTCAGATTCGCTTGGAATCGCCGACAATGGGGCCAGTTCCTGAGGCAGGGCGGGGTGGGTGGCAGCAAAGGTAGGCAGACTCTCAGTGCACCCTCCTAGGTATCCATTACCTCCGGAGCAAGCGACAATGGTGACTGAATAATTAGTGAAAGGAATCAGATGCTTGATTACATGACTCAATACAACCGAGGTCGTGTTGGTTATTCTGATGAGAGGGTCTGGCATTCGGATCTCGTAGCTCAGTATGTCTCCATTCTGGATAAGAGGGGCTTTCCAAGTGACCTGAGAGAGAAGACCAGCAGCATCAGTGTGACACACTGGGGTAGAACAAGTGAGGTCCATAAAGCCTAGAGTTCTACCTGCTTTATTTGCCCGAAGTCATCTGCCAAAGGCCTATATTCAACTTAGCCCTCTGCACTAGACAGAAACAAAAGTCTTGGGGGCAGTGACCTGAGCCAGGAAGCTGAGTGGAAGCTGCTTCCTGGGCTTGGCTTTTAGCTATGATACTTTCTAGGATAGTCAGATTCATCTCCATGTGGGTGTTCTAAAGGACACAGAGCAACACACGGAGGAAATTCACACATCCACATGCATCAGGAGGGCAGCATCAGGACCTGAGAGTTTGCATGTTTTTAACTCAATTAAATGAAACTTCTTGCTTTACCATGTGGGCATGAGGGCTAGAGTGGTTGCTTTTACAAAGGCTGGAGAAAGGTGGAGATTATTTGTATTTTCAGAGTCACAGTCAAATTCCTGAAGCTGGTGTATAGTTTAACAAATAAAGCAATAACACATTCTAGTCTCAGAGCCAGAAACACATGGAAAGTTTTAAAAACTGCAACCAAAGGATGGTTCTGTTTAAATGAATTTAACATCAGAAAACATAGTAATACCTTATGAATTCCATCGTAGTGGATGCTAACTTTTCTGCCCAAATTTTAGTAGCTGTGGATGGATGAGGGTTCAAGGTTAGAGGCCCCGATGGCACCATAAAAATAAATTTTGTTGCTGCTGCACAGATGCACAATTTGGTGATTTCTGCACCTTATTTCTCAGTTTTATCTCTCAGTTGTGCTAAGTGCTTTACTATGGCAAACTGATGTTGGCTGAGTCCTCTTTGGACCCCTTTTTAGTCTGATTTTACTTTGCTTATTTATTTTGTAAAGAGACTGCTTCAAAATCTGATAAGACCATTTAAAACCATTTATTGTTTGTATTTATGTGAGGGTGTGCGCTTGCATGAGTTTCTGTATACCACATGTGTGCAGGTGCCCAAGGAGGCCAGATGGACCCCATCAACCTGGAGTTGTGAGAAGTTATGGGATGTCTGATGTGGGATCTGAACTGGAGTCCTCTGCAAGAATGGTAAGTTCTCTTACTTGCAGAGATACTTCCCAGCCCCATTTGGATTAAAAAAAAAAACCCTTTGGGTTAAAAAATATCAAAAAACAAACAGGCTTTCTCCTTAATTGGTTGATGGAAGAGGCATATTGACAGACAGCTGGCTATTGAACTCTCCTTACATTTTTGGAATCAGATCAAATTTGTCTCATTTTATTATTCTTTTCATATTCTGCTTAATTCAATTTGTTAATATTTAATTCAGAAGTTTTAGATTGATGTTTAAATATGAAATTATTCTGTACTTTTATTGAGCTGTCCTTTTCAGTCGTAGTAGAGGCTGTCTACCGAGTTTCAAAATGAAGTGGTTTTCTTAGAAAATTAAGTACAACCTGGAAGTACATAGATGTCATCTTTCACATAATTACTTTGACATGTTTTTTTTTTTCCTGATAGATTTTAAGGATATGATTCTGACCTACTATGTGCTCTAATTTCCCTCCCTGAATACTTCTAGATATAATACTTCAAGATATAAACAATGTTTAGGAGCCTACATATTTGAGCCCAGGGCCTTGCGTATGCCAGACTGGCGCTCTACCATGGCCTCACAGCCTCAGCCCCCTGCACACTTTGAGACGGTAGTTCAGTAAGTTCCTTAGGCTGTCCTTCAACGCATAGGGGAGCCTGGGGAAAATGTGTCATTCTCGGACAGGACTCTCTTAGGTCCAGCATGGGTTGCAACTCTTACTATCCTTTGTCTTCCAGTTGGCTCAGTCTGTGTCACGTTTCTTGCTGTCCCTGTTGGACAGCAGCGGATGATACTGTTTAGTGCAAAGAACACATCACAGAGATAAACCGAGCTGATGATATGGCTGAACTACAAAAATAAAACAAAAACAAAACCCCAACCCCTCACTTTCAAACTCATTCCCCCAAGTGAGGTATTAAAAGGTAAAAGTTTAATCCGACTGTGGTGTTTACAAGTGGACCGTGGATGGGGTCAGGACTAGATAAGGTCATGAGGGTTCCGCCCAATGATGACTGAATGCTGGTGGCTTTGTTACAGGGAGAGGGACCAGAGAGGACCACAGGAAGCTACAGGATTCCTGTCTCGCAACCTCTGGTACCTACACAGCTCTGGGATGCTGCTAGCAAGAAGCATATCACTAGACATAGCCCCTTGTCCTAGAAGCTACAGCACCAATGGCCCAAGGCTGCTCTTCTCTCTAAACTTACCCGGCCTGCTCCAGTGGCTACTAGCCACACCGTGAAATACCAGCTATATACCTTCAATCATTTACCACCCCAACCACTCTCCCTATTTATCTTTAACTTGATTCTGCTCCATGCCCCCCCAGTCCTTGCCAGTTGTGGGCATCTATTATGCTTATTTGTCTACAGAGTAGCTCCATGAGGTGGGGGGGGGGGCACTATTTTGGTCCCACTGTTTCCCTTTAGTGTCAAAAAGAGACACTCATAAATGTGTTTGCATGAATATGAGAAGTGGAACATATTGTCATTGTTAATATTATTGACAATTTACCTAGAACAGTAGAGCATGGTAAATATTGAATGGCTTTCTTAACCGTGCATTAATGACTATCCTGGGATTCCTCATAAATGTTTTATCTATTTGCAATTTTGATTTCAGATCTGTCCTTGCAGAGAGGAGTCACAGTTTCCCAGGCATATATCTGTTTACTAGAGACAGTCTCACTAGAAAAATGTACTTTGGTAAAGTTTTAAGCTACTTTTGAGTACAATGTGAGTCAGTAATACTAACACAAAAATGTGTTCCATGAACATTTAAATACACTCCATGATTTAGTTCAGTATTCCCTGTGCTCTTCTCCTTGGTAAATTTCATTTTCTCGTTAAAGAATGGAAGCTGATGTAGGTGAGAGGGCTCACGCTATCACTTGGCTGCCAAACCTCTGTGCTTCAAGATCCTTCAAAAACTGGGTCTGGGCTTTACGGGCCTGAGGTCATGATCTTCGGGCTTCAGCTCCCTTAGCCAATCTAATCAAAACTCCGCTAGCCAGTGACAGGCCATGTGCACTGTCCCATTCGTGTGGAAACTTTCAAGCCCTCAGAGGGGGTGTTAAAGGCTGACTAACTCCTCCCAGAGATTTGGAGCCAGAGGCATTGACCCCCTCAAGCACCCTGGCCCATTGCTATCTTCTTAAACCATGCATATGTATATTTTTTCCTTTCTGGATCTATAATCAGTGACGGCTAGTTTTAAATTTTTGGTAGAAGAATCAGAATAATGTCTGTGGTGCAGCTGTTGCCTTTATGAAGGGACAATGTCTTCCAGGTCCCAGGCCATCTAACAGCACTGAACCAACATCCCACACAAGTTTTCCAGGGTTTCAAAGTCGATTCTGAAAGGATTAACGATTCTAGCTTTGCCTGCGTTTTTGCTTTTTATTTGACTGAAGACCAATTCTTATGATTTTTTTTCAGTTCATGCAATAAATATCATATATGCTATATGTTAAACTTAAATCCCATTTAGTGCTAAATCAACAGAATTCCTTATGCTTTACCTATTTTTTTAATCCAAATTGTGTTGCTTTAACAGTTCTCAGATTGAAGATAATTAAGACTATTTTAAGTGTTTAACTTTCAAAGACTGAATTAAAAAAAGAAAAAAGATACAGTCACTTCTAGTTTGTGGGTTAAATGAGTTTTCTTCAAAATCTTAAATTGTCAAGCCTCATCTAGTGTCATTCTTTCATTGGTGAAAGAAAACACAGCCTAGATCCAAGTAATATCTCCAACAGATGAACTTTGCTGTTATGCAAATGCCCTCTTTGTGCTCTGGTGAGCAAGCTACTGTACCAAGGCTTTTGGCAGAGGTACAAGACTGAACCCATGGAAGCATGTGTGTATTTACACAAAAGAGGCTTCTAAGCTGCAAAACTCCCTCCTGTTTGGTTACACTAATTTCCCTTGAATGAAGTTTGTATGCCAGCCAAAACAATGGTAGTTATTCCATCCTCCAGAGTTCAGTCCCCAAAGAATGAGGCAAATAATTGAGCTTTCTGGATACCCCAGCAATATGCTATTTTCTTAAATTTTCCCATCATTTTAATTCTTTGACTTTTTTTTTTTTTAAAGAACAGCAGAACATTAGTGTGTGGGATTTTTGTTTGTTAATATGCTTCTCAGTGCTTCCATTAGCATCCCATCTCCTCTCATTTTCTGATCTGTTTAAATATGATGTGGTGCTGCGGCTAAGCATCCCACAGTGGTATCAAAGTATTTCATGTGTGCGAGGCAAATAGCAGTCTCTCAAGAATATAATTAAGGGGATACAGGGAGAGATGAAAAGCTGACATTGAATTCAAGATAGTTTGGGCTAAAGGCCAAGAAGCCTAGTTTCTGCAGCAAATGCCTAAGACAATAAATGTGCTGGTCTTGTCAGTAGGTGGCTCTGTTCAACACAGAGTGCAGCCAGGGTAAGTCCTCGTGTCTGAGACCGGGCACCTTACCTTGACTGCATCCGGCCCCAGCACCAGTACTGTGGGAGGCTGCACTCCTGAAGGCCGGGAGGGTCTTGTGGTAACTTCTACCCAAGTGCTGCTGTTGGTGCCTTTGTTAGGAGTGCTCCCCAGAGCCCGGTATTCATACTGGGTCCAAGGGCGGAGGGCAGGATCATTGTCAAGAAACTTCATGGCATGGCTTCTTGGGAGGGTCAGCAGGCTCCTAATTTCTTCTTTCCCCTTGACTCGTCTCTCAATGGTAAAGTTCTCAACTGAGCCACTGGGGTGTGTGGGGGGTTGCCAAGACACGATGATGGACACGGGAGAGTGTGAGAACAGCTCTGGGCTTGGGATGCCTTCTGGTGTTCCTGGGAGTGTCCACACGGTCTGAGATGCTGGTGACTTGGAGCACCCTCTGGAGGTGCAGGCTTCTACCTGGAACTGATAGGCCGTGTCAGGGTGTAGATTGGCCACAGTGCAATTCGTGACATTTCCAGAGGCTGTTAAGTACAGACGGCCATGCTGGTAAATGTTATAATGGGTAATAACCCCATTGCTCTTTGCAGGCTGTTGCCAGACAATTGACATCATTTGAGCTTGCACATTCAGAAGAATTGGAGCATCTATTGGTCCAGGCTCTATAAAGAAGAACACATCCAGGAAGTCATGGCTCTTATAAACTTCCCACATGTCCTCAACAGTAAAACTCCCATGAATAAGCACTTCAAAGAGACGAGGGACAAACAGGTAAGGGATCCAAAGACCCACATGACTGCCCTGCTCATAATGGCAGTGAAATACTTGTTAAATCCCTTCCTTCCTAACATACAGCAACAAAATAATTTCTTTTCATTAAAGCTAATGCTGAAAAAATGTCAGGATTTTTTCTTTTTAAATCAAGACATTAGAAAAGAAATACAAAAGCTGACAGTTTAACCGAAGTTCTGCCTTGGGCCACATTTGGCCCCATGGACCCGCAGTACTGATTTTAACCAACGGCATGATCATAACAGACCCAAGAGTTTACAACCCCATGAAACCCTGCAACACCCTCATTATACATTCCATATGATGCTGCCTCTGTTTATCATGCTAATCCACGGCTCGTGATTTATCTACCCCCTGTTAATATTATCGGTGATATTTCCCTGTGCCTGTGACAGAGCTGATGATGACCCGGCTCCTTCACCTACTGATAAATAAACAATGCCCATGTCTGACCTTTAGGTTAACAGGTTCTGCACTTGTCCCGCTCAGCACTCTAACTGATTCAATTATCATAAAGGTTTGGGAGGCCCCATGAATACTGAAGAAGGCCCACCATATGCCTGCAGAGGTAGTGGGGGGCAGCGAGCTCTCTGCAGCCCTCCAGAGAAATTCCTTAATTGTAAATAATTTCGCCATGCGACACAATCAAGTCACCTTGAATGCGAATCCCCTCAGCCCTCGCAGGCAAAGTGTTATTTAAGCTTTACTGGGCTGCGTTAAATTCTGCAATTTGAAGGGCTGTTAAGTTTTTCAATTGAAATTTCATTTAAAATGCAGGTGCTTTTTATTATATTGCGGCTTTACTGCTCTCTAGGTACAAGCAAGAACATGGCGCAATAACACAAATCTGCCTCAATCACTGATCAGTAACAGCTGTAATTCCAGAACATTTAGCATTCTTATAAACCATGGCCTGAGATCTATAAATTGCTACAACAGATCAAAAAAAAAAATACTATAGCCCTCTTTTCTTCCCACAGCAATTTTGACATTTATGAGATTTTTTTTCTGTGAACATTAGATTTTATTGAAAATCTTTTAAAAAGATATAGTTGGATTTAGTAATTGTTTAAAACAGCATTGATTTGAGTGTGAGTGTGTGATTCAGTGTCCCACTGAGGGCTAAGTGTTAAAGCAGCCACAGACTTGGGAAGCCAGTGGTTGTCATAATAGCCAGTTAAAGGACATTTTCAAATAGAATGGTCCACATTTTAGTCACCAACTGGACTCATGGTAGAATCATGATTTGTTTTTTTGAAGGGGCCTGAAATCAAGCTGTTTTGACAATTTAGTCACAAGTCCTTTGTGGAGAGAAAAATCCTAATATCATGAAGATGTTGGTGCAGGCATTCCCCAGGCTGGTATGCTGTTAGCTTTCGCTTTAAAGCCATCTGAATGCCTCTGTGACATTTCTTCTCACCTCTCCAGTACATAGGTACAGAAGCAATTATCATACCAACACGGGGATAAGGCTCCTTTCTTAGCTAGGCATGTCATGCATGTTTAGCTATTTCCCAGAGAAAAGCAAGTGAGAGTCTTGCAAGCTACAAATGTTTTCATTTTTAAAATCCTCTGATATTGGAGCTTGTAAAATCAATGGTGGAGATTCAAGTCTTTAGCCTAACCCTATCTCGGCTCCTCTTCTCAGCAGAGAATAATACACACTTATTAAATCGGAATGTTTTTGAGCAGATTTTCATCAGGGCCTCGCATGATTATTCCTTCCTCTGTGGGCTATCGAGCCACGAGCTTCTTCAGGGAAAAGCACCAACAAGGATGCGGTTTGTTCTCTGTGACGAGGATAAAGCCTTTATTTCTCCCGAAGCTGCTGATGGAGTGATAGGTAAAACATCCGTGATAATGAGCCGAACTTGCACTTCAAACTCCCACAGAACATAGCCTTTCCTTAAAGACCTCTTATCTTGGGAAGAGGGGACATTCAATTTCTATTTCATGATCTGACCCCCCCCTCCCCAAGCCAGCATACATTTTATTAGCTTCATTCTCAGGGAACCTGAGCACGCTCCCTGCTTGCGCTACAGAAGCGTCCTTTAAAGCGTCTTGGAGAGAACAGACTTGGCTTAATTAGCTCCTTTGGCTAGGGAAGTGTTAAAACCTGACTTCTAGCACTCTTTCAATTTAGTGCTTTAAAATGATAAGCAGGATCATCTAATTCTATATACAAATCAACTGTCCCACTACCGCGCAGTTGAAGGGGTCACCACAATTATGTAAAACATGAGTAATAACTGTAATTGGGGTAGTTGGCTAATACAATAAAAAGCTGTGAACACGGGGAAAGTTACGCTCACCGCAGTAGCTCTCACTTTCTAAAGTAAGAATTCATGGGCGAAATGACATGAAAAAGATGGTTATAAAATTTTAATGGAATGATAAAAGGCAAAAGTCAGCCTCTCAGCTGAATTCGTAAAATCCTTATACATCACGATCAGCGCCTTAACTGTAAAATCAATGTGGAGTATAACATGTCAATGCGGCTGTCACTCGAGGGGAGATGGGGAAACCTGACAGGCACAGAGCTCAGCTGCCCAGTGAGGAAAATGTAAGGGGGCAGCTCTCTCTGCGGCTTAATTGTTTAGAGCGTCCCCCTCCTCCCCCGGGAGCTAGGTAGGGGGCCTCCTCTCTGGTCAAATCACAGACTGCTGTTTTCGGTGAGCTGGCCTTGGCATTGATAACCGAAAGCAGTCTTATTTTGGCAAATGACATGATCTGTGTGAGAAACTGCTTGGCTCACCCTAGCCTAACCTAAAGTCATGACCTTGTTAAGAAAGGGGTGTGGCCTTTCCACAATAATCTCAGGGGCGTGTGACGGAGGGAAGTGTGTGCACAGGCTGAACACTACCAACGTCTTCCAACTCGAGGGGGCACAGGATGCGCAGGGGTTTGGGGAAGAAAAAGCCTTTTACACTGGCTTGCTCTGGAGTTATCCACAACTGGTTGATTGGTTTTCCTGTTACAGTCTCAAATGTTGTCCTCAAGGTAATATTTTAGCATTCTCATGAAAAGAACCTTCCCAGTTTAAAAACTCTCTTCAGTAAAATTAATTCCTAAGTGAATAGCCCCTAAATTTGCCAGTGAATTAAAAACCATGGGGACAGTGTATGGATGGCCATTAGGCAAAGCACGCCATCACACGCCAGTTAAGGTAGCCATGATATGTACCACTGATGGGTTAGCCCAGAGAATGGCTGCCTCTGCCTTCTCTTTAATCATGAATTCTTTCATCAATTTATTATTAATACCCAACAACTTCCCCATGGAGTTTTTGACAGCTGATAAGAAGAGAGGCAAATGCAAGAAGACCAATAGAATAAAGAGAAGGGAGTATTCACGGTGTAATAATGAAGATGGCGCCATGATGTACCCCCAAAACAAATGTGCAGAACGTGAGCTGCAGACTCGGAGTCAGCTCCCAGCTTCCTGACAAGTGACTGGGGAGGAGAACTCCAACACTAGGCACCTGGATCCAAAGAAAGGGCAGCAGAAGCCTAGCGGCGGCTGGAATGGAGAGGGCAGTGTTGTGTAGTGCCCAGGTAGGAGAACCACTCTGAGGACCTTCCGTGCCCCATTCTCCCGAGGCCAGGGCGAGTGGGGTCAGGAGGAAGGGGTAGCTGTCTACAGCTGGGGCTCAGGATGAGGAGAACAGCAGCGAGTGCTTCCCTGAACAGTCCGGGTTGCAAATAAAAGGTGCTGTGATGACAGGGGCGGCCGCACCTGACTTAACACACGTGTAAACCTCAGCTCACCTCACAGGGGCCCTTTCCTGACCTCCACTGCTTCTCTTTCAGACCATGACTGCCTTTTCTAGCCTCTTATTTAATCGATCTCTGGAAACTGCGTTTCCTAGGATTATGGTAAAAATGAGCACTGTAGCATGATTAAGAGACTCTATAGAGTTTCGTATTCTAGAATGTTCCAGATAGGCAGGGCTGTGCGTGACAATCTATTGAAAATGATTACACAACCCCCACCCTTGTTAATGGTTAGCAGCTCTCAGGTGTTTGAAGTCACTAAGATGTTAAGATTGGAGGGTCTTAACCCTGGCTGTTTCATACTCAGCTGTGGGAGGTGCCAAAGGGTCACCTTACAAAGCCCGCCGAGGACTTCCAAACATGGATAATCTGGTTTTTGGTTTTTGTTTTAAGAGAACAAAAATACTTTTAAAGAAACTTTTGAGAACATTCCAGAGATAGCATAAATTAAATGCCAGGATAAACAGATTTTTACTGTCAAGGGCTCTGAAATAGAATAGACTCTCAGTAAAGATGAGCCCACAGCACTAAGCCCACAGCAACTGTGATTAAAAAGTACTTATTTCTTAAACTAAATGTAAGAAAAGCTAGAAAAGGATGGATTTCTTGTCACTTCCACGTGTGGTTTTTGTCTGAAGGATATAAGGAATATTGCAACTGGAGACTAAATTTGCAAGAGCAGCCTGCTTTAATGTGCTCAGGGGATTCTGGGGAAACTGAGGCCAGGTGGCTACATTCTTTTTCATCAATCCTTCATTTTTAAAGAAATTTTTTGTTGTTCACATAGTGTGAATAAATCCATTCAATGTTAAGATTATAAAATAAGAATAAATAAATTATAAGAAGATACTTTCCCCTACTAATTTTAGAAATGAAAACAACCGATGTAATGATCTGTGCCATGGAAAACAAGGCTTACAGGGACAAAGATGCTGAGCCCTTCATTCTTGAGACCAGAGATTTATGGAACTTCTGTGACTACAGAGATGCCTCAGCAGCTAAGACCACCCGAATTTGATTCCCGGAACTCACATGGAAGCTCACATCCAGGTGCAATGCCCGTTCCAAGCTATCCAACACCCTTTCTGGCCTCCACA